AAAAAAAAAAGTCATCAGTGTTTGAGGTATGTGTTAGAGGTAGGTCTTAAAATCATGGAAGGATGTGTTGGAATCACTTAGAGAAACTGAGAAGAGTGAGAACAGGACCCCTGAGACTGGAAAGATTCAGTCAACACTGTCACTGCCTTCTGGTTATCAAGTCCTCCTTCAGTCTTATGTTTTGGGCAAAATAAGTTTAAGCTATCACTCCTGGTCCCATTTTCCCTATCTTTTTCATTTCTACTTTTCTCTCTGGGTCAGCCACAGTCTGCTTAATCTGGGAAAATGTGGAAACCCTGAACAAACACGCACCTGTGGTAAAGCGTATGACAAATGGTCCAGACGACTTTCAACACAGCAGCCAGAGTTGCTTTTGACTTTGTACATACAGAACACTGGGGGTGGAGGAGGAAAAGGAGGTAAAAAAAGAAAAGTCAGCTTAGGGCCAAGGTCTAAAGTGGTGCTGTCCAATATGGTAGCCACTAGCCACATGTGGCTGTTTAAATTTAATTAAAGTTAACATAAAAAATGCAGTTCCTCGCTTGCATTAGCCACATTTCAAGTGTTCAATAACCACATGTGGCTAGTGGCCACTGTATTGAAAAGTGCAGATATGGAACATTTCCATCATCGCAGAAAATTTTATGAGAGCCAGACAGCATTTATAAATGTTACCTTTCTCCTGGACTTTGGGAAGGCCTCTGAAGGCTCCCTGAAGAGCGCACATGAGGGAGAAATTGAAAGTACGGCAAGAGCAGTTTGGGCAACAGCAAACTATTCTAGATGTAGAAGTGAAGGAGGTTACCAAGAAGGCAATCAAACAATCTGGAGGAAAGACAATTGTAAAAACCAATTCTTTATGCTAAAGCTCATGGGGAAGTAGGAAAGCCACAGAAATTTTAGTTGTGATGTCAATACTCTAATAAAAGACAGTGACCACCGGGACATCAGTAGTGAATGAGAAGATCCCAAGTCAGAGTCAAGTAGATATCCTGGTAGCATGTTGTATGTTTTCTCCACCTACTCAAATAAAAAAGGTTGAAAGGGCGCTGGCTGAGGTTGAGCCCAAAATGGTGTGTCAGGGCTAGGAAATCAACTTATTGATCTCTTGTTTTTGATGCCTAGTGTTCTGTACCTCTTTGATACTCGGTATTATGTACAGGAGGAGACAATAATCAGCAAGAGTGGAGGAACCAAAAAAGGCTGTTTGGAGTTGGGGACAATAGGTAACGATTTGTAAAAGTCAGGAGAGGTCTGAGAGGCATTCAGTGGAGATGGGACAGTGTGCTGTTTGGTGGAAAGAGGGTACCTAGACACATGTCCGTTTTCAAGTTGTACTTTGAGCTCTCCCCATCTATTCCTTGAGGGCAAGGACCATGTCTTCTTCATTCAGCTTTGTGTCTCCATCATATAACACAGTGCCTAACACCTAGTAGGAAGTCAATAAAAAGTCTGTTGAAGTGCAAAAGTTCCAGCTTGATATAGAGGGCAATAAGAAAACTTGGACCCTGACTGGTGTAGCTCAGGGATTGAGCACCAGCCTGCGAACCAAAAGGTCACTGGTTTGATTCCCAGTCGGAGCACTGCCCAGGTTGTGGGCTGGGTCTCTTTCCCGCTCTCTAAAAATAAATGAATGAAATCTTAAAAAAAAAAGAAGAAGAAAGAAAACTTGGAATTTCTTTTTAGCTTAACTCTATTAAAATGTGAGCAGAATATAATGATGAACATACTTGACTGGCAGTGTTCATGATGCATGTGCCTTAGTGTCATGAAGGTGATTTCTTAAGTAACACTTCTGGGAAAGTATACTCAAAACAAACACGGTCAAAGTTAAGCTGGTTTTTTAGGTCTTCTTCTAAGAGTCCATCTCCTCTCAACTCTCCAATGACTTGAGTTTTTAGTTAAAAAAAAAAAAAAAAGGAAAAATGAAGACTAGAAAATGAGGTTACTGGGAGTGGGGAGAAAAAAGTACAGTGAGGAACGGGGCGGTACAACTCTCAGGTTTCTGTCCTCCAAGGCCTTGAATGATAACTAGAACTTCCTTAGACTTAGCCTATCAGACACATAGTAAACTTTAGGAAAAAAGGGGGGGAGGAGGAGATGAAGAGGAGGAAGAGTTCACTTATGAATGTGATGGAAATGGTTAGAATTGGACACCTTACACACAGTGCTGAGGTAAATTTCTAGGATGTCAGGACAGAAGTCATAGTACCCAGGGGGTTGATGCCTCCCTCTCGTCACCTTTTTCCCACCTCCAGAAAATGTTTAAGCAGCACAGGTTCCCCCATTCAAGTAGTGGGAGAAATTCTCAATTGGGCTGTGGAGTAACAGAACTCTGGGGACAGGGAAGCCTCCACAAGGCCTCAGAAATAGTTCCCTGGAAAGGACCAAACCCAGGCAGGCATCATTTAACACTGTTTGGCCCCAGAGGCCCAGAGTCTTAACACCAAGGACTACGGGGGTTGGCTTTTAGCATCCCACCCACGCCACGTTCACCCCTTCTGACTTCTAGCTTCCTTCTCATGCAGCCAAGACTTCAGGAGGCTAGCCTGTTGTCCAACCAGACAGGGAAAGGTAAGGGATGCTTCTCGCATCAGGAGGGGATTTAGATCCAGGCCTCCGGCTTTCTAGGTCTTTTTCCTATGGTCCCTGCGGAGCCTACTGTCCAAACTCCTAGATTCTTAAGGCTCTCCCTTGGGCCTTGAGGCAGGACTCCCATTCTCTGTCTCTCCATCTCCCTGGAATTTTCCACTGCAGCTGCCTCCGCTCCCAGACACCCCCTCCCTGGGCAAAATTCCCGGCTCCCTCCGCCTCCCCTTTCTTAATCACACCTCATTCCCACCCTCGGCCCTGAGGCCCAACCCACAGTCCCGCTCACACCCGACTCTGATCCCGGTGGTCCCAGTTAGAGAAATGGGAGGCCAGACCCTTACGGAGGAGTGAAGGAAAGAGAGGGTCCCAGACTATTTCCAGAGCGGGCAAAGGGCAACGGAGGGGCTGGTCCCCTGTGGGGCTAGAGTGGGGGGAGTGGCCCTCCTCAAATCCCCATATAAGGCAGGGCAAGCAGTTAGGCTCCTGGATTGGGCGATTCAAATGAGCATTCCACCTGGCAACAGAGTTTCTATTGGCTCTCAGGGAAAAATAGGAGGAAGGTGGATGGAGGTTGTTGGTGGCGGGGATTGGAGGGGGAGGGGAGTGGAGGTGACCGGAGTGGGGGGGCGGTTACCAGGGCAACAGGGTAAGAGCCCAGCAGGGTGTCCGAGACAGCAGGCGGGGGCTGGGAGGTGGCGGGGCGGGGGGGGGGGGGCGGAATGGAGAGTGGGAGGGAGAGGAAAAAGACTGACGGGGAGTGAGACGGGGAGGGTGACACCGGGAGACGGGGCCGGGGTTGGGCGGGGGGGAGCTGGTAAGAGAAGAGGGGAGAAGGAGAAAAATGAAGCAAGGGAGTACAGAGATGGAGAGGGTCAGAGATCGCTAAAGACATCAGCAAGTGAGTCAGGGAAACAGATTGAGAGATGGAGATATCGCAGAGGAAGATGGACAGAGTCCGGCAAGGAAAAACCTGGGTGGGGCTCCAAGATTTTTGAGGAAAGGGAAACTGAGAAACTGATACAGAAGTCAGAATGAGAAACTGGGAGGTGTGTACACCACGGGATCAAAAGACAGTGTATTTCAGCACTCAAATACTAAATGATGATTGATCCAGTCTGTCTTTTTTATTAAGAAAATGACGAGTAATGATAATAATAACCAAATACGGGAGTGCGTACACCAAAGAGACCTTTTTTCCAAACCTTGGCCTTCCACCCCATCCACACTGTGACCTTTAATACACACCCCAGCACCTGTGCCCTCCTGAAACTCCAAGCTTCTCAAAATGACCCAAAGATACTGAGACTGAGGACCAGGAACTGAGGATGTGTGGAGTAGGGTGGGGCTGAAACTCCAGACCCCAACCCTTTGCAAAGCAGGCACGCATACTTCTGGAAGGCTGGGGAAGATGGTAGCAGAGGAAAGAGGAAAGAAAGGGAAAATTGTGGAAAATAATGATATGAAGAGAAATTGAGGAAAATCAGCTAAGGATATAGGGCCAGGTGACAGGCTCTGATGAGACAAGAACGGTGTTGTCTGGGAGAAAGAGATATCGGAGGTGGAAGGACAGAAGAGGGCAAATGAGAAGAGCAGAGAGGTGACAGAAATATAAGAGGGACATGTAATATAAATGGTTGTGAGGGAGGGGTCTGGGTAGAGATGCATGAGGAAGAATGAAGGGAAATAGAAGGACCATGAGAAGAAAAGCGAAGTGAGATGGGTGAATAAGAAAGGTCAGATATTGAACAGAGGAAAGGAGGCTGGAGGGCCTCTGACCCCCTCAGAGCACGAGGAGTCAGGAACGGTAGAACCCAGTAAGGGTCACAAATGTCACCCTAGGGCAGGACAGAGGGTGCGTTGCCCTTGCTTCCCCCATTCCCTCTCAAGGCCATGCAGAAAATGCAGATAGATGCCGGATGAGAGGGGAAATCCAGCGTGATGTGGAAGTAGCTCCCCACCCTCTTCCTCTAGTTTAAGCTTTTGGTTTCTCAAATACCTGCCCAGCCTTTCCCTCTGCTCCCTTCACCATCCCCAGGCAAAATCTCAGGGCTTTGGGGGTGGGGGGCGTTAGTAGGATTCTGGTCATCCCTCCAGCCCGCCCCCAAAAGACAGACTCCACATTCATAGGCAGTAGGTCGGAATTCGGAGAGGTCCCTCCCCGCAGGAACCCCACCCCTTCCCACCTCCGCGCCCCACTCCTTTCTCCGCGACCGTCAGTCTCTCCATCTCCCCCTCCCGGTCTAGTCCTCCCGCCTCTCGCGCTCTCCCTCCCCTCGCTTTCATCCTCCTATCCCCACCTCTCCAACCTCCGCTTTCATCCTCCTCCCTTCTCTTCTCCTCCCCGCTCCCGCCTGCCCCACCCCCTGGGAAGCCCCTCCCGTCGGGCAGCGCCGCCTTTATAAGCGGTTTCTCTGCCCGGGGGCGGCAGCGGCTGGTCGGCGGCAGCTCTGCGGGTGCGGGGGCGGCGAGCTGAGGACTTAGCGACCGCGGCCGGAGCGTGCCGGCCACCGCCCGCACCGCCCTTCCGCCCACTCTCTGGACGGCCGCAGCCCTGCGGGTCTCCACTCCAGACCCACCTCCGCCCCACCCCGCGCGTCTCTGCCGCCTCTTCCAGAGACCCAGCTTGCTGAGCGGCCGCCACTGCCGCTGTCGCCGCCGCCGCCACCGCGTCAGGTTCCGGCCGCGGCCACCTTCCGACGTCCAGGGCCCCTCCGTCCCGGCCCCGGGACCCCGGCTCCCCGCCAGCCCCGGCCCCGGCCCCGGCACCATGTCGGAGAAGAGCGTGGAGGCAGCGGCCGAGCTGAGCGCCAAGGTACGGGCGGGGACGGCCGCGGGCTGGGCCCTGCGCGACCCCCAGGCTCCGCACGGTCGTGCGCCCCAGGCCGCCTCCGACGGCCCCACGCTGCCCTGGCGCAGGATCCCGGCCGACCCTTATCCGCCCTCCCCCGCTCCCCAGCCTGGCGCTGCCTACCCAGCTCGGCGCGCCGCCCGCCAGCGCCCTCTAGCCTCCCGAGTGCCTCTCCCGGCTCCGCTCGGGCCCAGCCGCCGTCCCCACCCCTCTCCCGGCCAGGCCCGCGCGCATCGGTCCCGGCCAGATTCCCGTCGGAGCTCTCCGCGGCTCACTTTACCTGCTCCCTCCCTCGCGCTCCTCTGCCCGCGCCGCGTTTCCCAGTCACTCCTTCCAATCTGACCTCACCTTTCCTCGGCTGAGTGGTAGGAGACCCTCCAGTGTAAACAGTACTCCCCCGGGAGACTGCTCCTCTCGGCCCCCTCCCCTCGAGGCCCGACAGCTTTTTGCTTCTCCCCTTGGACAGCTACTGCCTCTATTTTCTCATTCTCTCCTTTCTTTACGGCTATATCCATTCCTTTCCCCATGGCCTTCAGCTGTCTTTTTCTCTCCATAGCACCTCTTCAGCCTCATCCCCCACACTGAAAGAATCTTGGGTCTCAAAAATCAGAAGCGAGGCTGGAATAGCCTTCGAAAGGGCCTCAGCTCAGTATTGCATGGCCTTGCATGGAGCCGTCCTTGCTCTTGTCAGCTCCCATTCCTGGCCCATCCGTTTTCCCTTACCTCTCTTCCAACCTTTAATTTCTCTAGGGAACCTGCTGAGTGTCGCTTTGGGAAATTAATTTGGCCAGGGCTTGGGGGCTGGGAGCCCGACCTTGGGGGGTGGGGGGAATTGCTGAGGAGGTCACAGAGGCCTCCTGGTGGCCTGTGAAGTGATAAGGGGGAACCCGTGGAATTAAAAGCAGAGGAAGAGAGGGGCTATGTGGAGATCTGACAAGGTGTGCCTTGTGGCCTTCTGGTGGGCTGTGTGGTGGCATGTGACTTCATTGAGTAGGTGTCTTTGTATGTCTGAAATTCAGCAAGTGTGTGGGACTGCCTGTGTCAGTTACATGTGTGCATGTGGAGACATAGATGTTCTGGAGCCATGTTGCTGCTTTGTGACTGAGTGGCTCTGCTGTGCTCTTGTGCTGTCTGTCTCAAGAGTGTGCCAGAATACCCAAACACCAGGCCATGTGTCTTTGGGTCGCGTGGGTGCGCCTCTGTAGCTCTGTGTGTGCGCTGGTGTCAGCCTGTGTCAGTGTGTGTGCCTGTGTTGAGTAAATGAGGCCAGAGAGCTGGTTAGCACAAGACCTGGGTCACATACCCTCCTGGAAGAGGGATCATGGAAGGACAGTGACCAGAAGGACAGAACAGGGAGGAGAGGGCCCGGCCCCTTGGACTTTGGTCTCTGGTAGTCCCCCGCCCTCCTTTTCACACTCTCTCCCTCCCCCCATCAGCCCAGATGGGAAACTCAGGCCAGGGCCACACAGACCTGGTGCTGGGGCCCGGAGAGAGGCTGACAAGCCCCAGCCTCTCCAGACCCCGCATGGAGGGGAAAGACTACCGGGTATTAGAAATGTCATACCTACCATGTGGCAAAGAAATGAGGACAGCCAAGTGACACGAAGAAACCTAGCTGGAGTGAGAGCATTCTATGCTCCCCTGAAAAGGAGAAGGGATTTGAGTGTCCCTCCAGGCCAACCTTTGGCACCAGCCCTCCTATCCCCAGTCCTGTTCCAGAAAGGACATACCCTCCCAGGGTGATCTACTCACGTAGAAAACTTCCATCCACATGGAATCAGATACGGAGTTGCACCCCAACACCAGATCAGATCATAGGGAGACACTGTCGTTCAGTGCTTGCCAAGGGTGGGAAGAGAGAGGACTGGAATCAAAATTTGAAGGGCGGGTGTGTCTAAGAGGGGGGACTCTCAAGCATTTCCTTGTGCCACATCAGAAAAGGACATTAGGCCCTGGCCGGTGTGGCTCACTTGGTTGGAACATCGTTCCGTGGACTGATATGTCACGGGTTTGATCCCCAGTCAGGCGTGTGTGAGAAGACAGCCAATTGATGTTCCTCTCTCACATCACTGTTTCTTATCTGTCTCTCTCTCCCTTCCTCTCTCTTTAAAAAGCAATAAAAAAAAATCATTTCGGGTGAGGATAGAAAAAGAAAAAGAAAAGGATATTAGGGTGTGCCTGCTAAGATCTTGGGGTGAAGAAGAGGGGCAGTGCTGAAGGAGGGCCCTGGAGACAGGTATTTTCTCCGTCTGTATTCCTGTCCCACCCCAGACACAGAACTTGTCTCTCCTCATCTCCCATGACCCACACTCTCACTTCCATTGTTCTTTTATCCTACTTGACCTATATCCCCTGGAAGTGGTTATTGCTACGTTTCCATCACACCATGAACATTCCACAGGCCTTAGGGAGGAAGAAACTACTTGAACTTCTTTTTGCAGGGGGGAGTGGGAAAAAGTGAGGGTGCCAGGAATCAGGCTAGGGTGCTCTCCCCATTCCTGTGGTGTTTGCCCAAGTAGGAGCCTGGGGACTCTGGGAAGAGACCCACAGACGGAGAGAATCAAAGGCTTGGGTAGCTGGGAGAGATGCCCAGGAGAGAGTACCAGGAAAGGGCCCAGGGTAGACAAAAGGCAGAGCTGGGCAGGCGGCAGGAGGGGTGGGGCATCAGGGCTCTGAACAGATGGAGGGGATTTGCTGTTGCAGAGCTGAACTCTTCAGCCAGTGGGGCTTGGGGGAATTTGATGGGGATGGTGAGCAGAAACTTTGGCCACTTAGTTCCCTTTCCTCATCACTTTTCATCTTCCTTGAGTCTTGGGGGAGAAGGTGCCTGGTTTCAGCTCCTCTGGCCTTACTGGCCCTGGGGCCGGCCCTGTCTGGGTAGCTCAGTTGGTTAGAGCGTTGTCCCCATACGCCAAGGTTACAGGGTTCAATCTGTCAGGGCATATACTGGAAGCAACCAATGAATGCAAAAATAAGTAGAACAACAAACAGATGTTTTCCTATCTCTCCCCACCCCTAAAATCAGTAATTTTATTTTCAAAGAGGACCCTGGGACCTCTCCCCCCGCACTGCTGTGACTCTAGGCTGCTGTGGCTACCGTCTCCGTTTCACACTCCTCTAAGCTCACTGCAGAGGGAGAACCGGGGCTACAGGGACTGAAGGGCTGCAGATCATTTGTGGTGAGAGAAAGGTGACCTCTTTCCCTCTTGCAGGACCTGAAGGAGAAGAAAGAGAAGGTAGAGGAGAAGGCGAGCCGGAAAGAACGAAAGAAAGAAGTGGTGGAGGTGCTGAGGGTCGGTTGGGGGGTGTGACCGCATCTGCCCACCATCCCCCCGCCCCTTGTCTTCCTGGGAGGCTGGGTCCTGTCTTCCCTCTTGAGTTCTCCCATCCTCCTTGCCTCACCTTTTGGGTCCTCCCAGCGCCTCTTGCCATTGGTGGTGATGGTGGGTGGAGGAAAACAGCCAGCCTGACACTGCTCCCTCTTCTGGTCCCCAAAGGAGGAGGAGAATGGAGCCGAGGAAGAAGAAGAAGAAACTGCTGAGGATGGAGAAGAGGAAGATGAAGGGGAAGAAGAAGGTGGGGAGGGACAGGGAACAGAGTCAGGGTGGGTTTGAAGACCTGAAACAGGGCTGAGGGCGCCCACAGGGGGTCTGATGGAGCTTCCTGCTCTTCCCCAATGACCCATTTCTGGCTCCTCAGATGAGGAAGAAGAAGATGATGACGACGAAGGGCCCGCGCTGAAGAGAGCTGCTGAAGAGGAGGTTTGGGCTGGGTTGTGGGGCCTGAGGGGCTGTCAGGGATGCAGCAGGGGCTGGGACCCCGTTGGATTTGGACCCAGGTCCCTGTGGTGCATGGGTGGGTGCTGGAACAGGGCAGGGACAGGGGGAGGTCCCTCTCCCATTTAATGTCTCTTCCTCTCCACAGGATGAAGCTGATCCCAAGCGGCAGAAGACAGAAAATGGGGCATCAGCATGAGCCCCCTGCCAATGGGCTGGGGTGGGAGGCCGCCAGGGCCTGGAGATGGGGACAGGGACAGATGAGTGCAGCCACTCTTCCCCTGGCTCCTTGCTCTGAGCCCTGCGTCAGAGCTGCCACCCTCTTCCCCCCAGCCTTCTCATGTCCACCTCTCCAGACGTTGCCCCTCCATCTTCACTCTGCCGTTTTCCGTCTCCTGACCTGTTCCATCTGAGCTCCCCGCTGGTCCCCAATCGCCCCTTTCTCTCTTCTTTTTCTCTTCCTTTCACCCCCGGCCACTCCCACTCCTCCTCCGTTAGCCTCTTCTTCCTAACCTCTGCATCCGAGCCTCCTGTCCTGTCCATCCCTACCCTGCCTGATCCCTGGGTCTCCCTCAGATCCCCTCCTTTCAGACAGCGCCAGGCCAGGGTGGGGCCAGGGTTGGGACCAAGCCCCACAGCTGCCCCCCTCTACTCCCCTTTTTGTATAATTTAATAAAGAAATGGTCGCGCTTCTGTTTTTAACCTGTCTCCTGCTTTCCCAGGGCAGAGGGAGGAGGGTGGCTCTGTCACATTCTGTCAGGACCCTTACCTTCTATAAAAAGGTACCCTCCTACCATCCATCACTCCAGAAGGCAAGGCCAGCAGCACCCCAGGGGTGGGCATGGAGCACAGCTTCCTTGAGAGCTGACTGTTGTCCGGGTTTTGGATTCATGGAGATGCCTCTCCCCAGCAATACACACATACTTCCCTGCTAGCCCACACCAGGTCTAGACACTGCTGAGCCCAGTGGAAAGCTACCAGCCCTATTGTGCTGAACCAGGCAAAGAAACAGCCTCAGAAACAGGAAGTCCCACCCCTGCAATGGGAGAGGGCTAGGAGGCCTGGGTCTCAATTTTGGGACCTGGAGTGAGAGTTCCCTGGCATCAGAATTGCCCCTCTGCCTGGCACAGAGGAAGTGACCAACTGGTTTAAGTGGAGAACTGCAGGGCCCCTTGCGGTACCCGGGCTGGCTGCAAGCTCATGGCACCCACCCTCCACCACTCCCTGCTGGGCTGGCTCCTCAGGCTGGATGGGGTGAGGAGAGAGAGCTTCCCTCTGGAAGTCTCAGGCTTCCTTCCCTAGCACTTCTGCCTCAGTGTTTTCTAGAGTTTGGTCTCTGTTGCAGGGTTTTTGCATTTCTCCATATCACCCTTGCCAATGCGGAACCTCTGGGTTGGGAGCAGACGCTGAGTACACGGGGGTCTGAGCTGGGCCAGGATGTGTGTGACTCATTAACGCCACCATTCTTGTTAAAAGAAACCCGTAATTCATCCAGGGTCAGGATGACACACAGCTTTTGCCTTCACACTCCATAACTGGCCTCAGCAAATTATTTAAGTCTCAGTTTCCTCATCTGTACAATGGGATAACAGATTTCATGAGTTACTGTATGTAAGGTGTCCAATCCAGTGCCTGGCACGTACTGAAGGCTCAATACAACGTAGCTATTCTTTTCCCTGGGATTCAGGTGCCCTTCCCCAGACCTACCATCTTTTAGGGTCCAGTAAAGCTTCCTGTGCCTGTTATTCCCAACAGTCATTGGGTGGGTGGGGAAGGCAGGCCTACAGGAGCACTGAAGTTCTGGGAGGTTAAAGGAATGAGGGAGGGGGTGAGAACCAAAGAAAGGGCTGGCCAGGAAAAAGTGAATGTTGGGTCTGATGGGAGGCAGCTTACAGGTGGGCAAGCTGGTAGTTTCAGGCAGGAATGGTTTGTAGACAAAGGCAGAGGGTCTTGGGAAAGGGAACAGTCAGGAGGGTGGAGGAGGAGGGTGTGGAGGGGGTGGTGGGGACACCCAAGACTGAGGAAATAAACAAGGGGAGTGCCACCACAGATGTGGAGGGTAATGCTGCTGGGAATCAGCCCCCTCAGACTTTCCACTGCGAAGCGAAACCGTGAGCCCTGGGGTGTGGGGGGGGGGGGGGGGGGGGGGGCAACGCAGAGGGGAAGTGGGCAAGGTGGAGGGAAGGCAGAAGGACAGGGGCAAGGGCCCCGGGAGCAGCAGACCAGCCTCCCAGCTTGAGACATCCACCTTGCCTCCGCTCTGCTCTTTGCCACTGCCCTGCCCCATTCCCTGGGACCCCCTAACCCCCCCCCCCCCCCCACCCCTGATCTGGCCAGCCTTCCTCTGGATTCCAGCCTCAGGTCATTGGTTCCTCCCCTCTCTTTTCAGGACTCTCCCCTGTCCCTCTTCCCCCAGGTTCTCTTCCTCCACCTTCCACTTTGCAGAACCTCCCTTTCATCAGGCTGTCTCTCCCCACTTTCTGACCTCTTCCCTTTGGAGGGCTCATTGTGGCCCGCGCCCAGAGGGATATGGGGGAGGCCCAGTTCCGCCGGGTCTGGCTGCTTCTGCCACTGCTGTGGGTGGCTCCAGGTAAGGCGGGGATGACCCTCTGGGGGGGTCCACCTCCAGGCACACAGGAGGGGGTCAGCAGGGATGTCTGGATGACTGCACAAAAGCCAGGGTTCTCAGTTTGGGTGGATCCTCCGCATGCTGTGCTTGGGACAGTCCTTCAGCGCCAAAGCCTCTCTTCAGGCTCCCCCTTGGCAGGGAAGGGGCAAAACCCCTGGTCTTCCTCAGGCTCCTTCTCTACTCCTAAGTCAGTTGACTCACGGCCCCTCCCCTTGGGCTCTTCTTTTCCTCCCCAGTGGAGGCACCAGGACCTGGGGAAGAGATCCCGGAGGTGTGGGCCCAGGAGGGAGCTCCTGCCCAGCTTCCCTGCAGCTCCACAATCCCCCTCCAGGATCCCAGCCTTCTTCGGATAGGAGGGGTCACTTGGCAGCATCTACCGGACAGGTATGCACCCTGACCTTGGGCAACAGAACTCCCAAATCCAGCAGCAATGGCATCCACACTCACAACCCAAGACTCAAACCAGACCCCGGTCCCCTCCCCTGAGCTGTCAGTCCCTCTAAAGCCAGTGGCCTGCCTCCCCTGCCACTAAGCACCCTAAGTCCATCCTCTGAAAACTGCTCCCCACATCCTTGCATCTCCTAAGTTGCTAGCAGGGGACGGTGCTGGCCCAAGGCCAGGGCGACGGGGACAGTTAGTGATAGGAGATCTTCCCTTTGGGTGGGCTTCCTTATGCTCTAAGTGTGGTGGGACTGCATCTCCCCCGAGACTTCTTTCCCTTTAATGTCTCCATCTCTCTCCCGTGCCCAGCCGGCCACCGGCCCGCGGCTCGCGCCCCGTAGCGCCCACCCCCTACACTGTGCTGAGGCGGGTTCCCGGGGGCCTGCGCAGCGGGCGGCCGCCGCTGCAGCCCCGCGTGAAGCTGGAAGAGCGCGGCTTCCAGCGCGGGGACTTCTCGCTTTGGCTGCGCCCGGCCTTACGCACCGACGCCGGCGAGTACAGCGCCGCCGTGAACCTCAAAGACCGAGCCCTCACCTGCCGCCTCCGTCTGCGCGTGGGCCAGGCCTGGGGTAGGTGGGGGCGGGGCGAGGGGCGCCGGGCTGGGAGGAGGGCGCCCAGTTCCACGCCATCCGGAGACAGGAAGGGCTGGGCCGAGGCTGTGCTTCTAAGGATGCGCCCTAAGCCCTGACAACGAACCCCCAGAAGAGTAGGGGAAGGGGGTGGGAACCGGATTGCTAAGTGGAAGGTGCCCCCAGAGAAAGCACGTACGTGGGGTGGGGGGGTGCCTTGGAAGAAGTTGTATCACCCTTTGAGCTCCCCTTGCCCCACCCACAGTGGGAGTGCCAGGGTGGCGGACGGGAGGCGCCCCTTGGGGGGCGAGGGAGGGTGCGGGGCCAGAGTGATTCATTTCAGACATCTGTGGCTCAGGAGGTGGGCTTCGTGAGGATCCTCAGGCGAGGCCTGGTGAAAGAGAAGAGTAGATCAGGCCAAGCAAACTCGGAGGCAGGGGAAGTAGGCAGGAGACTCTGGGCATCCATTTTAAGCACCTCCAGGTGCCAAGCACTGAGTTGGAGGGGGTGGGGTGGAGGAGAAGACAAAGAAATCTACATTATGGTGCCTGTTTCCAAGAGCTTCCAGCTTGGTTGGCCTGCTGTGTTGGGAAAGTGTGGTGGGGCTGATCAAACCTTCTTTATCTTTGCGCAGTGACTGCCAGCCCCCCCGGGTCTGTCAGGGCCTCCGATTGGGTCGTTCTGAACTGCTCCTTCAGCCGCCCGGACGTCCCAGCCTCTGTGCACTGGTTCCGGGGCCCAGGCAGAGTTCCTATTCAGGAGTCCCCCCATCACCACTTGGTTGGAAGCTTCCTCTTCCTGCCCCAAGTCAGCCCCTCAGATTCTGGGCCCTGGGGCTGCATCCTCGCCTACAGAGATGGCTTCAATGTCTCCAGCACATACAGCCTCACTGTTCTGGGTAATTCCTCCCGTCTGCCTTCACACTTGATCACGATGCCTTCCTGCTCCCCTCTCACCTTCCCCCGAGACGTATGGGTCGCCAAAGCAGGGCTTCTGCTGCTAACACCGCATGTGATTGCTCTGGACTTCACTGCCTGATTTCTGTCTTCCTCCTGTTGCAGCCTTTCAGCTGCCTTCTCCCCTTGTAGACTTTCCCTTGGCCATCCAGCCTCAATTGCCAGCCTTTGGTCTCCAGCTGGCCCAGCCCACATCCTGGGTTTCTGAGTCTCTTCAGTTCACACACCTTATTCTGCTTCTTAGCATGCTTCTGAGCAGGACCACCTCCTTCACTCTCTGTCTCCCTCCCATGGCAACCCAGTTCTCATCCCCTCTGTCACCTCCCCCTCTCTGCTTTAACTTTGGGTTCCCTTCTCTCTCCAGCTCCGGAGCCGCCCATCCCTCTGACTGTGTATGCAGGAGCAGGTTCCCGGGTGGAGCTGCCTTGCCAACTGCCTCCTGGTGTAAGGACCCGGTCTTCCCTCACTGCCAGGTGGACCCCTCCTGGTGCAGGCGCTGACCTGCTGGTGGCCGGAGACAATGGCAACTTTACCCTTCAACTAGAGGCTGTGAGCCAGGCCCAGGCTGGGACCTACACCTGCTGCATCCATCTGCAGGGGCAGCAGCTTAGTACCACCGTCACCTTGGCCGTCATCACAGGTCAGTCCTGTGTTGGAAAGGAGTATCTCCCAGCCCCGGGGAGCTGGGGCAGGGAGGGAGACTGGCTGGGCAAAGACTGGGCAAATCTGCCTCATGATACCGGGCCGTGGGCACAATTTACAGAGGTTGCCCCATGTGGCCTCCTTTTTTCTCACCCCCATGTACAAAGAACTGAAACTGAAAATCGCCCTTGAGTCACTAGATGAATGTTCCACTCTTCTCTAAGGGGATCCCCTGCTCTGAATTGGGGGGAGGGTCTGAGAACTTAGAAAGAAAGGTGGCAAAAGTTCGAACAGTTCAAAAGGGGTGGAATATATTTCTAGAATACTTGTCCCACTTTAGAGCCAGAGCTTGGGTTAAAGTTGCAGGAAATGACCTCAATTTGGGAGGAGTTAATAAATCAGTCCCTTGGTCAGCAAATATTTACTGATCATGGGCTTTTCAAGACAG